CCAAGGTCTTTAGGCACTGCACCCAGTGTGCCAATCACCACTGGGACTACCTTGACTAGCTTGTTCCAGAGTCTTTGCAGTTTGATTATTATTATTATTATTAGATACACAACAAGGTTAGTACACAACAAACACAGCGAACAAGGTCACATCATTGATTGTTTTTAAGTGCAGGCCAAGGTCTTTAGGCACTGCACCCAGTGTGCCAATCACCACTGGGACTACCTTCACTGGCTTGTTCCAGAGTCTTTGCAGTTTGAGTATTATTATTATTATTATTAGATGCACAACAAGGTTAGTACACAACAAACACAACAAACAAGGTCACATCATTGATTGTTTTTAAGTGCAGGCCAAGGTCTTGAGGCACTGTACCCAGTGTGCCGATCACCATGGGACTACCTTGACTGGCTTGTCCCACAGTCTTTGTAGTTTTACTATTATTATTATTATTATTATTATTATTATTAGATACACAACAAGATTAGTACACAGGAAACAAAGTCACTCTGCTGGTTGTCATATTGGATCATATATCAGACCCTTCCCAAGTGTCTAGGGCTGTATATGATGTATTGGCCAATAATGTGTGCAGATCATAGAATCCTAGAATCAAAGAGTTGGAAGAGACCTCCTGGGCTATCATCCAGTCCAACCCCATTCTGCCAAGAAGCAGGAATATTGCATTCAAATCACCCCTGACAGATGGCCATCCAGCCTCTGCTTAAAAGCTTCCAAAGAAGGAGCCTCCACCACACTCCCTCTGGGGCAGAGAGTTCCACTGCTGAACACAGTCAGGAAGTTCTTCCTAATGTTCAGATGGAATCTCCTCTCTTGTAGTTTGAAGCCATTGTTCCATTGCATCCTAGACTCCAGGGAAGCAGAAAGGAAGCTTGCTCCCTCCTCCTCCCTGTGGCTTCCTCTCACATATTTATACATGGTTATCATGTCTCCTCTCAGCCTTTTCTTCTTCAGGCTAAACATGCCCCAGCTCCTTAAGCCACTCCTCATAGGGCTTGTTCTCCAGACCCTTGATCATTTTAGTCGCCTCCTCTGGACACATTCCAGCTTGTCAATATCTCTCTTGAATTGTGGTGCCCAGAATTGGACACAATATTCCAGGTGTGGTCTAACCAAAGCAGAATAGAGCATGGGGAGCATTACTTCCCTAGATCTAGACACTATGCTCCTCTTGATTCAGGCCAAAATCCCATTGGCTTTTTTTGCCGCCACATCACATTGTTGGCTCATGTTTAACTTGTTGTCCACGAGGACTCCAAGATCTCTTTCACACGTCCTGCTCTCGAGCCAGGCATTGTCCCCCATTCTGTATCTTTGCATTTCATTTTTTCTGCCAAAGTGGAGTATCTTGCATTTGTCACTGTTGAACTTCATTTTGTTAGTTTTGGCCCATCTCTCTAATCTGTCAAGATCGTTTGATGCCAATAAGGTGGCCCTTTGCAGCTGACCCGTGCTGAGTTTGCCATTATTGGTTGTTTTTAAGTGCAGGCCAAGGTCTTGAGGCACTGCACCCAGTGTGCTGATCACCACTGGTACTACCTTGACTGGCTTGTGCCAGAGTCTTTGCAGTTCGATCTTTGCAGTTTGATGATGTTGATAATGATGATGATGATTATTATTATTATTATTAGATACACAACAAGTTGAGTACACAGCAAACAAGATCTCTCTGCTGGCTGTTGTATTGGATCACACGTCAGACACTCCCCATAATAATAATAACAATAATAATTGTTGTTATTATTATTATTTTACTGACACAAAAAAAAGTATGTCACAGCAAACAAGATCTATATTCTGAATTGTTGTTGTTGTTGTTGTTATTTGAAACACAACAAGATGAGTGAATGTATCAATGAGTGAATGTATCAATGAGCGAAGGTATCAATGAGCGAAGGTATCAATGAGCGAAGGTATCAATGAGCGAAGGTATCAATGAGCGAATGTATCACTGAGCGAATGTATCACTGAGCGAATGTATCACTGAACGAATGTATCACTGAGCGAATGTATCAGTGGGCGAATCAATGAGCGAAGGTATCAATGAGTGAATATATCAATGAGCGAAGGTATCAATGAGCGAAGGTATCAATGAGCGAAGGTATCAATGAGCGAAGGTATCAATGAGCGAAGGTATCAATGAGCGAAGGTATCAATGAGTGAATGTATCAGTGAGCAAATATATTGGTGAGCAATTGTATCGGTGAGTGAATGTATTGGTGAGCGAATGTATCAGTGGGCGAATGTATCAGTGGGTGAATCAATGAGCGAAGGTACCAATGAGTGACTGTATCACTGAGCGAAGGTATCAGTGAGCGAATGTATCAGTGGGCGAATCAATGAGCGAAGGTATCAATGAGTGAATGTATCAGTGAGCGAATGTATCACTGAGCGAATGTATCACTGAGCGAATGTATCACTGAACGAATGTATCACTGAGCGAATGTATCAGTGGGCGAATCAATGAGCGAAGGTATCAATGAGTGAATGTATCAGTGAGCGAATGTATCACTGAGCGAATGTATCACTGAGCGAATGTATCACTGAACGAATGTATCACTGAGCGAATGTATCAGTGGGCGAATCAATGAGCGAAGGTATCAATGAGTGAATATATCAATGAGCGAAGGTATCAATGAGCGAAGGTATCAATGAGCAAAGGTACCAATGAGCGAAGATATCAATGAGTGAATGTATCACTGAGCGAATGTATCACTGAGCGAATGTATCACTGAACGAATGTATCACTGAGCGAATGTATCAGTGGGCGAATCAATGAGTGAAGGTATCAATGAGTGAATATATCAATGAGCGAAGGTATCAATGAGCGAAGGTATCAATGAGCGAAGGTACCAATGAGCGAAGGTATCAATGAGCGAAGGTATCAATGAGTGAATGTATCACTGAGCGAATGTATCACTGAGCGAATGTATCACTGAACGAATGTATCACTGAGCGAATGTATCAGTGGGCGAATCAATGAGCGAAGGTATCAATGAGTGAATATATCAATGAGCGAAGGTATCAATGAGCGAAGGTATCAATGAGCGAAGGTATCAATGAGCGAAGGTATCAATGAGCGAAGGTATCAATGAGCGAAGGTATCAATGAGTGAATGTATCACTGAGCGAATGTATCACTGAGCGAATGTATCACTGAACGAATGTATCACTGAGCGAATGTATCAGTGGGCGAATCAATGAGCGAAGGTATCAATGAGCGAAGGTACCAATGAGTGAATGTATCAGTGAGCAAATATATTGGTGAGCAATTGTATCGGTGAGTGAATGTATTGGTGAGCGAATGTATCAGTGGGCGAATGTATCAGTGGGCGAATCAATGAGCGAAGGTACCAATGAGCGAAGGTACCAATGAGTGAATGTATCACTGAGCGAATGTATCACTGAACGAATGTATCACTGAGCGAATGTATCAGTGGGCGAATCAATGAGCGAAGGTACCAATGAGCGAAGGTACCAATGAGTGAATGTATCACTGAGTGAATGTATCACTGAGCGAATGTATCACTGAACGAATGTATCACTGAGCGAATGTATCAGTGGGCGAATCAATGAGCGAAGGTATCAATGAGCGAAGGTACCAATGAGCGAAGGTATCAATGAGTGAATGTATCACTGAGCGAATGTATCACTGAACGAATGTATCACTGAGCTAATATATCAGTGGGCGAATCAATGAGCGAAGGTATCAATGAGTGAATGTATCAGTGAGCAAATATATTGGTGAGCAATTGTATCGGTGAGTGAATGTATTGGTGAGCGAATGTATCAGTGGGCGAATCAATGAGCGAAGGTACCAATGAGTGAATGTATCAGTGAGCGAATGTATCAGTGAGTGAATGTATCAATGAGCGAAGGTATCAGTGAGCGAATGTATCAGTGAGTGAATGTATCACTGAGCGAAGGTATCAGAGAGCGAATGTATCAGTGGGCGAATCAATGAGCGAAGGTATCAATGAGTGAATGTATCAGTGAGCGAATGTATCAGTGAGTGAATGTATCAATGAGCGAATGTATCAATGTGTGAATATATTGGTGAGCAAATGTATCGGTGAGTGAATGTATCAATGAATGAACGTATCAATGAGCAAATGTGTAAATGAATGAATGTATTAATGAGCGAATGCATTAATGAGCAAATGTATCAATGAGCGAATGTATCAGTGAGCGAATGTATCAGTGGGCGAATCAATGAGCGAAGGTATCAATGAGTGAATGTATCAGTGAGCAAATATATTGGTGAGCAATTGTATCGGTGAGTGAATGTATTGGTGAGCGAATGTATCAGTGAGCGAATGTATCAGTGGGCGAATCAATGAGCGAAGGTACCAATGAGCGAAGGTACCAATGAGTGAATGTATCACTGAGCGAAGGTATCAGTGAGCGAATGTATCAGTGGGCGAATCAATGAGCGAAGGTATCAATGAGTGAATGTATCAATGAGCGAAGGTATCAGTGAGCGAATGTATCAGTGAGTGAATGTATCAATGAGCGAAGGTATCAGTGAGCGAATGTATCAGTGAGTGAATGTATCACTGAGCGAAGGTATCAGTGAGCGAATGTATCAGTGGGCGAATCAATGAGCGAAGGTATCGAGTGAATGTATCAGTGAGCGAATGTATCAGTGAGTGAATGTATCAATGAGCGAATGTATCAATGTGCGAATATATTGGTGAGCAAATGTATCGGTGAGTGAATGTATCAATGAATGAACGTATCAATGAGCAAATGTATAAATGAATGAATGTATTAATGAGCGAATGCATTAATGAGCAAATGTATCAATGAGCGAATGTATCAGTGAGTGAATGTATCAGTGAATGAATCTGCATAGAGGTAGGCTGGTTGTTGTTGCCTGGAGGCACCCTCTGGCAGGGTCACACAATGAGTGAATGAATGCCACTGATGTTCCCCTTTTCTCTCCCTCCAGGCCGAGGAGACCTGTGGGAGGGTGTCCCCGCCGGGATGCAGAGCATCAAGTGCGTGGTGGTGGGTGACGGGGCGGTGGGCAAGACCTGCCTGCTGATCTGCTACACCACCAACGCCTTCCCCAGCGAGTACATCCCCACGGTCTTCGACAACTACAGCGCCCAGAACACGGTGGACGGCCGGACGGTCAGCCTGAACCTGTGGGACACGGCCGGGCAGGAGGAGTACGACCGGCTGCGGACCCTCTCCTACCCGCAGACCAACGTCTTCGTGGTCTGCTTCTCCATCGCCAGCCCCTCCTCCTACGAGAACGTCAAGCACAAGTGGTACCCGGAGGTCTGCCACCACTGCCCCGACGTGCCCATCCTGCTGGTGGGCACCAAGAAGGACCTGCGCGGCGACGCCGAGGCCGTGCGCAGGCTCAAGGAGCAGAGCCAGGCCCCCCTCACCCCCCAGCAGGGACACGCCCTGGCCAAGCAGATCCGCGCCGTCAAGTACGTGGAGTGCTCCGCCCTCAACCAGGAGGGCATCAAGGACGTCTTCGCAGAGGCCGTCCGCGCCGTACTCAACCCGGCCCCCGCCAAGCCCAAGAAGCCCTGCCGACTCTTGTGAGGAGCGGGCCGGAAGGGGCACCCAGGGGTCACCTGGACCACCCTTTCTGCCAGGTGGAAAGACACAATCCAAGCCCTCCCAGGCGATGGACATCCCAGGTGGACCGTATTCCAGTAGGGTTGAAGGGACCACCAAAGGCCACCCAGTATCTCCAGCCAGGAAGGAGGACACAATCCAAGCTCTCCCAGTAGATGGACATCCCAGGTGGACCGTATTCCAGTAGAGTTGAAGGGACCTCCAAAGGCCACCCAGTATCTCCAGCCAGGAAGGAGGACACAATCCAAGCTCTCCCAGTAGATGGACATCCCAGGTGGACCGTATTCCAGTAGGGTTGAAGGGACCTCCAAAGGCCACCCAGMATCTCCAGCCAGGAAGGAGGACACAATCCAAGCTCTCCCAGTAGATGGACATCCCAGGTGGACCTTATTCCAGTAGGGTTGAAGGGACCTCCAAAGGCCACCCAGTATCTCCAGCCAGGAAGGAGGACCCAATCCAAGTCCCCCAGTAGATGGACATCCCAGGTGGACTGTATTCCAGTAGGGTTGAAGGGATTCAGGCAGGAAGGACACAATCCAAGCCCTCCCAGTAGATGGACATCCCAGTCCAAGCCTCTCCAGCCAGGAAGAAGGACACAATCCAAGCCCCCCTAAGTAGGTGGACCGTATTCCAGTAGGGTTGAAGGAATTCAGGCAGGAAGGACACAATCCAAGCCCTCCCAGGAGATGGATATCCCAGGTGGACCGTATTCCAGTAGGGTTGAGGGGACCTCCAAAGGCCACCCAGTCCAAGCCTCTCCAGCCAGGAAGAAGGACACAATCCAAGCCCCCCTAAGTAGATGGACATCCCAGGTGGACCATATTCCAGTAGGGTTGAAGGGACCTCCAAAGGCCACCCAGTCCAAGCCTCTCCAGCCAGGAAGGAGGATAAAATCCAAGCCCTCCCAGTAGGTGGACATCCCAGGTGGACTGTATTCCAGTAGGGTTGAAGGGACTCAGCCAGGAAGGACACAATCCAAGCCCTCCCAGTAGATGGACATCCCAGGTGGACTGTACTCCAGTAGGGTTGAAGGGACCTCCAAAGGCTATCCAGTCCAAGCCTCTCCAGCCAGGAATTAGGACACAATCCAAGCCCTCCCAGTAGATGGACATCCCAGGTGGACTGTATTCCAGTAGGGTTGAAGGGAGTCAGCCAGGAAGGACACAATCTAAGCCTTCCCAGCAGATTGCCCTCCACCAGACTCCCAGGTGGACTGTATGTAGGGTTGAAGGGACCTCCAAAGGCCATCCAGTCCAACCCTTTTCATCCAGAAAGGACACAGCAGATGGCCCTCCACCAGACTCCCAGGCGTCTGCAAATGCCATCCAGTCCAATCCCCTTCTGCCTGGAAGGTAGATACAACCCAAGCCCTCCCAACAGATGGCCATTCACCAGACTCCCATGCAGACTGTATTCCAGTATGGTTGCAAGGACCTCCAAAGGTCACCCAGTTCAACCCTGTTCTGCCAGGCAGGACAAATTCCAGCCCTCCCGACAGACTCCCAGGCAGGTTAGATTCCAGTAGGGTTGAAGGCCATCTGGTCCAACCCTCTTCTGTGAGGTAGGAAGATACAATCCAGGCTCTCCTGGCAGATGGCCCTCCACCAGATTCCCAGACTGTAGTCCAGTAGGGTTGAAGGGACCGTCAAAGGTCATCTGGTCCAACTTTTCTGCTGGGCAGGAGGACACAACTCAAGCCCTCCTGACAGATGGTCACCATCCTCTGATGAAAGCCCTCCAGAGAAGGAGACTCCACTAGACTCCGTCAGGATGTTCTTCCTAATATTTAGGTGGACCCTGCCATTTTCCCATTATGTCCCTGGAGCAGCAAAAGACGGGCTGGCCCATTCCCCATCACTGGGATATCCTTTTGAGTATTTCAAGCTGCTTCCTGTGTCTCCTCTCAGCTTCCTTTCGAACAGCCCAACATCTCCAAGTGAAGCATCCCCAGCTCCCTCACCAGATCTTCAGATGGATTCATGCTTTCCAGAACCTTCGCCATTTCCAGCTTGCTCTAGTTTGTCCCTCCCCTTCTTGACTTGCTTTGCCCAGAACTGGACACAGGTTCATTGGACGTCTCTTATCCATCCACTAACCAGACACTAACTAGACTCTTCTTGATGCAGCCTAGAATTGCATTGTTTTTTTCTTGCTGCTGCAACATATTATTGGCTCATGTTCGGCTTGTGGTCTACTAACTGCTTTTCTCCTCTTGCAAGGGTGACCTCTGAGCTTTGATGGACAAGAGTTTGCCCTCTTGGGCCTCTTCAGAATACCTTATAGACCTGCTATCAACACACAGCAACCTGTTTACAACACAAGGACCTTGATTTGGGCCCCTGTGGCTTCCAGTCCCTGGTTGACATATGAGGACCCCATGAATGTTTTTAATTAGTATCATTTGTTGGGATTCACTGCCCTTCTTTTCTTTATGGCCCCAAACCTCCAGGGTTTCTATCCAATCAGACACTAGAAGCAAGGAAATTGTTCAATAGGTTTATTTGGCCAAAACACCCTGCCGGGTGAACAAGTCCCAGCTGGTATTTTTCCATTCTAGTGTCCCTTCACCTTACAATGCCTGGTACTCCATCCAAGGACCAACCAGGTCTAGTCCTGCTTAGCCACCAAAGTCAGACATTATATGGCGCCTTCAGGGCATTGTTTGGCCTTTATTTAACTCAGCAAAGTTCCTTTTTTGTCCATCTCCCTTTGTTTAAAGACTCTCTCAGCTTAGTTTTGCCACAATTCCTGCTCTTCTGCAGAGGATATTCAGGGTTTGGGTTGGGTTGGAGGTCCCAGCTTATGGTAATTAAAATAAAGGAAAATGTAATTCATGAAACTACATCTTGTGTAGTGGCTACCTACCTCTGCCTCTGTGTTCTCCGTTGAAATACCACAATGTTGTCCCTTAATTTAAGATTGTCTGGGGAGGCCCTGCTCTCGGTCCCGCCTTCATCACAAGCATGGTTGGCGGAGATGAGAGACAGGGCCTTCTTAGTGGTGGCTCCTCGGCTATGGAATGCCCTCCCTAAGGACATCAGAACGCCCCCCTCCCTTTTAACATTTTGGAAGAGAGTTAAAACTTGGCTCTTTGAGCAGGCATTTGCAAATACAGTGTAACCAGACATAGGAAAATGGAATGGTTGGAGAATGGGATTGGACGAGGTTTTTTTTAATGAGACCCTAATGATACATGTTTTTACTGATTTTATAGATTCTGGTATGGTTTTATTATTCGACAGTTTTATTATATTAACATTGTATTTTATGGTCTTGGTACCAACTCTAAGGAAGTGGGACCGACCAAGGGGAAGATGGATGGATGGATGGCATCCTTGAAGGGACTGGACGGACCTTGAAGGAGCTGGGGGTGGTGACGGCCAACAGGGAGCTCTGGCGTGGGATGGTCCATGAGGTCACGAAGAGTCGGAGACGACTGACCGAATTAACAACAACAAACCAACTCTAAACCATCCCGAGTCGCCTGCGGGCAGAGAGGGACGGGATATAAATATAGTAAACAAACAAACAAATAAATTCCTTTCCGCACTGTGAAATTAAAGCAGTTTAAAACCCCTTTGATTGCCGTGGCTCAACGCAAGGGGATCTTGGGAGTCGTGGTTTGGTGCTCTGTGATGGGAAAGGCTAAAGGCGTTGTAAACACTACAACTCTTAGGACTTCATTGCATTGAGTCACGGTGCTGGGTGTAGTGTCCAAGAAATGCTTCAAGGTCCCGGTCAGTGCGGCTACTTTGGACCGTCCAGTCTGCGTCCTGCTCTGGCCCCATCGTTCCTCCGGTTGAGTTTCTTAACCACCATCATTGCAACTTGGAGAAACTGCTTTGCAGTTTCTTTGCAACTTGGAAGCGATGGGGACGAGGCGGGCGCCTCAGTGGCTCGTCTTAACTCCATTTGGGGCCGAGGGAGGGAAGGAGGAAGGAAACGGAGTCCTGGCCTTCCTCTTTCCATGCAACTGTTCCGCCTTTGTGTATATCTCTGAAAAAAGCGGGGATGGATTGGTTTGAATGCTTTGCCTCGACACGGGGACAAATAAAAGAAAGTCGCAAAACGGTTGTGGACTCGCCGTTCAGCAGTCGAAGAGGGTCTGACCACAGTGAATGGCTTCCCCTCTTTGAGGTGCATCTACACTAGAGATGCCGAAGATCAAATCCAGGCATTGACAAACTTGGGCCCTCCCTCCAGGTGTTTTGGACTTCAACTCCCACAATTCCTAACAGCCTACCGGCTGTTAGGAATTGTGGGAGTTGAAGTCCAAAACACCTGGAGGGAGGGCCCAAGTTTGCCCATGCCTGAACCCAGGTGTTCATCTAGGCCATGAAAACACACAAACTGCTGACCAAGGCGTTGCAAACTAATTGGGAGATTTTGTGATGTTTGTTGCTTCTCTCCTTCCTTCTCTAACTTTCCTTCCTTCCCCCTTTTTCTTTCTCTTCTGTCTCTCTTTTCTTCCTTCTTTCTTTCCTTCTTTCTCTACATCTTCCCCCTTCCTTCGCTCCCTCTTTCCTTCCTTCTTTCCCCCTCTCCTTCCTTCTCTAACTTTCCTTCCTTCCCCCTTTTTCTTTCTCTTCTGTCTCTTTTCTTCCTTCTTTCTTTCCTTCTTTCTCTACATCTTCCCCCCTTCCTTCGCTCCCTCTTTCCTTCCTTCTTTCCCCTCTCCTTCCTTCCTTCTCTAACTTTCCTTCTTTCCCCCCTTTTCTTTCTCTTCTGTCTCTCTTTTCTTCCTTCTTTCTTTCCTTCTTTCTCTACATCTTCCCCCCTTCCTTCGCTCCCTCTTTCCTTCCTTCTTTCCCCTCTCCTTCCTTCCTTCTCTAACTTTCCTTCTTTCCCCCCTTTTCTTTCTCTTCTGTCTCTTTTTTCTTCCTTCTTTCTTTCCTTCTTTCTCTACATCTTCCCCCTTCCTTCGCTCCCTCTTTCCTTCCTTCTTTCCCCCTCTCCTTCCTTCCTTCTCTAACTTTCCTTCCTTCCTTCCCCCTTTTTCTTTCTCTTCTGTCTCTCTTTTCTTCCTTCTTTCTTTCCTTCTTTCTCTACATCTTCCCCCTTCCTTCGCTCCCTCTTTCCTTCCTTCTTTCCCCCTCTCCTTCCTTCCTTCTCTAACTTTCCTTCCTTCCTTCCCCCTTTTTCTTTCTCTTCTGTCTCTCTTTTCTTCCTTCTTTCTTTCCTTCTTTCTCTACATCTTCCCCCTTCCTTCGCTCCCTCTTTCCTTCCTTCTTTCCCCCTCTCCTTCCTTCCTTCTCTAACTTTCCTTCCTTCCTTCCCCCTTTTTCTTTCTCTTCTGTCTCTCTTTTCTTCCTTCTTTCTTTCCTTCTTTCTCTACATCTTCCCCCTTCCTTCGCTCCCTCTTTCCTTCCTTCTTTCCCCCTCTCCTTCCTTCCTTCTCTAACTTTCCTTCCTTCCTTCCCCCTTTTTCTTTCTCTTCTGTCTCTCTTTTCTTCCTTCTTTCTTTCCTTCTTTCTCTACATCTTCCCCCTTCCTTCGCTCCCTCTTTCCTTCCTTCTTTCCCCCCTCTCCTTCCTTCTCTAACTTTCCTTCTTTCCCTCCC